CCCGGTGTGGCAAATGGTGAGGTCGGAGATGTCTGAGTTCCGGCAGGGTGATGTCGACCTCGGCGATTGTGAAGTCGGATGCCCGAATTTGAAGGGTTCGAACCTGATGACTGAGGTCGAAGAGGTTGGGAGGTTTGCGCGATGTACGAAGCCGAAATTGGGATTAATTCGGCCCCATGCGCGCCGCTCGGATTGTGCCGAGATCCGACCAGGGATGTGGACAGTTAGTGTGGTCGGCCCGTCAATTAGCGAGATTGGCTACTGCTGCTAAAGTTGGTCGTGGTTAGAGTGGGTTCTGATTTGGAGACCAGCTATCGTGAAATCGGGCCCCAACGACTAGTCGGTGTCTGACGTCGGAGAGGTCAAGGTCGGACTCCGTCTGTGGAGTTGCGTTCAATCCGTCGTCGGTGTAGGTGCGTGAACTCAGCCAGTATGAATAGATAGCGGTCAGCGGGTCTTTGAAGAGGTCGGCACCTGCCAAAGTGAATGACCCGACGTGCTGCAAGTCGGCGAGTTGAGCTCGGCTATCGGTGAAGATATCAGCCAAGTGAGGTCGGGGATGGATATGTCGACTGAAGTAAGTCGGTTCCTGATGGTCCTGGGTTGCAGGGTTTTGAAGTCGGCCATGGTTTCGAGTTTCGAGCTCGAGTCAGCTGTTATGTGGAGATCCGAACTTGGCTCCGGTGGTGGAGGAGAAGAGACCTGACCTCTATCAGACGGCGGTGGGAAAATTCTGGAATTTCTCCTTGCAATTTGGAGATCCCATCTCGGCCATTGGGTCTATTCATGGTAAGTCCTGGTGGTTGTGAAATGGTGAGGTCGGCCCTGCTGTGAGGTCGGGCTCAACGCACGTTGACGTCAGGGGCCCGTTTGTGGAAGTGACGTTTGCTATGCTGATTTGCCCAATGACGAGGAGCTTTTGACCGATGTGCAGCTCGGTATGTTTGCTTTGTTGTGTCGGTTCTCACTTGAATTATTTGTTCCCGATTGTAACTCTAGTGAGAGGTCGGATCTGAGCTGTGACTTTTGCATGTCAAGAATGTGGAAGTCGACCTTGAGATGGTGACGACGTGGAGGTTGGCCGAGATTGAGCTCGTCTCTTGTGAAGTCGGTGAAGAGACTCGGCTCGGTCTGGGCTGAATAAAGGATATACAGATGGCGGTCTTTGAGAGGTTGGAACGTGGTTTTGAATGTCTGGCCCCAGCTGCGTCCAGGAGGTCCGATACGGTTGGTCGGGCCCCGATTTAAAATTTTGGAGGTCCGACGATGGGGATGCCGACCGACTTGATTTGGAGCTCAGATTCGAGGTCCGACGACTATGAGATCAGGTCCCGGCGGTGGTTACGTGGGAGGATGTCGGCCCTGAGCCACTATGTGTAAGCTCGTAGGCACGGTTATAACTCGGGTACGTTGGCGGTAAAGATGTCGATCCGGATAGCAATTTTGAAGGCCCGGGCTATAATTTTGATGCCCGATAATGGTGAGATTGGTTGGACTGTGGTTGCGTAACTAGGCCGTCGACCCGTGCCTCTGGCTTTGCAAATCAGGCGACTCACCAATTTTTCCTCAGGAACGTTGGAATTACCCCAAAAGAAGGAGAAGAACGGGTTAAATGAAATCCAACAAATTTATGCTCCGGCCAATGTCATGAATAACGAAATCAAGTAATTTCGAGTTTTAGGGAAAAAATCAGTCCAAAAACTTAAAAGACCCATGAAAGTATTTTTCTTCTTCTTTTTTTATTGTGTATATATTATCATTAATAATAATATGATGTTATGTATAGTACACGTGAATATGAAGTATACACATATAATAATGCACATTATTTACTATTATTATTAGTGGAACATGTGCACACGCGTGTTTTTCTGACAAAATCGAGGGATAAAAATTAAAAAATACTCACCCTCCTTCCTTTCCGTTTTCTCCCGTAACCCTTTTCCATTTTCTCCAATAAAAATTCTTTTCAATTGATTGCTCGACGTTCTGGCTGAGATGTTTTTCAATCCGCCCTGTAGGTGGCCGCGGAAGAGTGATAGTTTACGACGGTGGAGTCGGTCGGCTTTGGATCTGGTCCCGACGGCGCGAGGTTGACCGCGACGGCGCAAGATCGGCCAGCTGCGATAGATATCCGAGGAGGCGAAATCAGTCATGGAGGCGTCGAGACGCAGCCCGATCTTGACTTTGACGGGGGTGAGAGGCCCCGTTGGTGTGGTTTATAGTTGGAGTTCAAGGTCGTGTTATAGAAGTCGGCCCGTTTATTTCGGACGTCGGGCTCAGGCGTTGGTGAAATCGAAAAAAGTTAAGGTTGAGACCTGTCGACTGAGGTCGGAGGTCGGAGCAAAAGGAACGAGGTCGGATCTGCCGCCTCGTTTCAGCTCGGCAGTGATGACGTCGAGAAAGGTAAGATTGAGACCCGTCGACTGAGGTCGTGATTAGTTCGGAAATAACAAGGTCGGCCCCGACGACTAAGGTCGGAGACCCGGGCATAAAGGACTCGACCCGACGACTAAGGTCGAGGATGTCGGGATTTCGGCAAGTCAAGGGCGGTTGTGGTTTGGAGCCATTGCTCCAGCTGCGTCCAGGAGGTCCGATTTGGGTGGTGAAGAGGACAGCCCAAGCTATGACGTGAGATCTGTGTTCGAGTTTAGAACACGCCGGTTTCACGGGGGATTCAGGGCTATCAATTTCTCTTCCCCGCCATAGTCGTCGGCGGCAGCGTTTGCAGGTCCGGCCGTGAGATCTCGTCTGAGGACAGCAGGGAAGTATTGGATTTCGGCGGCCCATAGGGAGATTCCGCCGGAGCGGTGGCGCGATTTCACCCGCCGTGGTGTTGTCTTGAGTTACAGAGCTGATGCCATTTATCCCTTAAAAGATAGCGGGTTGTTGTGCAGTAGGTAGCGAAAATTTCCTTCTCTATATTCCTTTTTTTTTTTATAGGGAAGAAAAAAGAAACGGGGCATAGATCTAATACTGAATCTAGAATCTGAACTTTTTTTATGACTTGTTTTGAGAATAACAGGAAGGAGATATATTTAGATCATGGTATATGCACACGATATGGGAAAGATAGTGCTGAGAATTACAATATACAATGAATATTAAAGACAAGAAGAGATGATTTTCCAGTAGAGATGCGGCCGTTTCCGGCGAAAATTGACTCCGAGCAAATTACAGAGCCCTCCTTCTAGCGCCAAACTGTTGATAAATGGATTTGATCAACTAAAATATACACCCTTATTCTGTGAATAATCGGTGTTGGATTCATAAGCATTTTTGGAAGATCAAGTTGTAATCTTTTTCTCTTGAATTTTTGTTGGGAAGATGATGAATAGTCCCCCTTTTTCTCTCTCCTCACTATTTATATATACCCAAGCTCTTTTACAAGTGGGCCAATTAAAAAATAGATAAAAGAGTACACTAGTGTTTAATGTGAAATGACATTGTGGGGCCCAATCATGACACTTGACGGCTTCGAATGGCGTCTACTTTATCGGCAATCATGGCGTCTACCGGAAATAGATTTTCTCGGTATCCGGGTCGGGCTGGCGAAATTTAATTCTGCTCGACTTGAACGTGGGCCATCTGGACACTTGGGGAACTCGGTTGAATAATCAGCTCAGGAAACCTGCTATATTTATATTTATCTAATACACATCCACGTGTCATCTTATTATTAATCGAGGCCAAATTGTGTATCAACACTCTAAATTTAATGATGTTATGAGTTTTGTTAATTCTAGACTTAATTTGATAGTTTTATAACATTTAAGTCCCGAATTGAGAAAAAAAATATTTCAGGCCCCGCATTGATAGTTTACCCATCTTTCGGGCTTTGGATTGATAAAACTCCAATAAACATTTATCTTTTTCGTCGCTTTTTTTTTTTCAACGTCATAATATATAAATCTTTTTTTAAAATTTATGATTGGTATCAAATTTTTTAATAGTATAGCTTCCGTTGGAATGGTTCAAACGGAAATTCCAACTGAAATATTCTATTGGAATGTGTTTTTCGTTGGAATTTTAGATGGAATTTGATGAGTCCAACGGCTTTCTATCATAGGAATTTCTATTGGAATTTTTATTTCCTCCCTGTTGAAAAATCCAACGTTGGAATTGTCCAAATTCAACGGAAATTCCAATGGAAAACTCATTCCAACGGAATATTTTTGTTGGAATTTCCGTTGGAATACATAGAAAAATTTCAACGGAAATAATAGTATTGAAATATCCATTGGAATTGCCGTTGGAATAATTCTATTGGAATAAATTTCCGTTGGAATTTCATCATTTTCTTGTAGTGACGACGACCTTCTTGAAGAAGACACATGAGACAGATCATCTAGACACTTCGGTCAATGACGAGTCCCTCCATCTTACCGACGACATTTCTCTAGACGTTGCCATTTTTAAAATATTACATCAAATTTTAAACCGGTGTCGTTATAGAGACTTAATTTTATTTAAAAATTAAATTTATTTTAGAAAGATTTTTATTTACTAAACCGTAACATTAAAATTGATAATATAAAATTATGATAATAGAATAGAAAAATAAATTAATTACGAGTACTATTGAATAGTTGGATAATTGTAAAAATAAAAATTCTAGTAGTAAATTTTAAAATTACGAGTACTATTGAATAGTTGGATAATTGTAAAAATAAAAATTCTAGTAGTAAATTTTAAAATTGATGAAATATGCACTAGTTTTAGAGAGAGGTATATAAACCGCGTGCATAATTTTAGTTCTTGGAGATATATACTTTTATGAAATAAAAAACAAAATAAAATAAAATAAAAAATGATATACATTGGAAGGATAGGAGAAGTATATAAACCTACATACTTTTGACCTTAACTGCTTGATCAGTACTCCATAATTTCCCTATATATAAAGAGATAAAGAGAGAGTCGGCTTTTGAAAGAAAAGAAAACAATTCACAGAGTAAGAATCACAGAGAGAGAGAGAGAGAGAGAGAGAGAGAGAGAGAATGGGTTGGGTTAGAGGAGAAACTCTCGGAAAGGGTGGTTTTGGGTTCGTCTCCATGGCCAAAACCAACCAAGATCATAATCTGCCGCCATTGATTGCCGTGAAATCCTCCAAAGTTTCTGAGTCGGAATCACTGAAGAAGGAGAAGGAGTTGCTCAACAAGTTCCAGTCATGCCCCTCTATCCTCCGCTGCTTCGGAGACGAAATCACGACCGAAAACGGGGCCTTGGGTTGCTCGGTTCTACACATGCTCACCGGAAAACAACCATGGACTTTCGACAGCAAGGCCCAGCCAAAGGATGTTCTCTTCAAGATTGGGTGCAGTGACCAGATTCCCAAAATTCCAACAAACAACAGAACAATATCCAAAGAGGCTAAAGATTTTCTCACAAAGTGTTTGGTGAAAGATCCGACGGCCAGGTGGAAACCCGATATGCTTCTCGACCATCCCTTTGTCAAAAAAGCCGATCCACCAACACATGCCGGAAAATACAGTCATCATCATCATCATCACCACCATAGATTGTCTCACGGCATTCACTCTTTGGTGCCTCACTGTTTTCACCACCCGAAAGTGCAGGCCTGCTGATTATATCTTCTATATAATTGTACACTGCTGAGTTATGAATATTTTTGGCAATTCTTGAATATATCTTTTCAACTGTATATTACCAAGTCAATACTAATTCATTCTTTCTCCTGTTATGATAATGGTATCTCATTAATAAACTTGTACCTTTTAGATTCAGCATGCATATATATATTGATCCTACACACATAAATATTTAATGGTCGTCCATGTATCGGGTGAAAAAAGGGACGAACAGGATAGACTTTTAGGTACGGTTATACCGAAAGGAGCGGCAGTCTTATCGAGTACATTTTATGTCAACTGCAAATAGTTGATGGCAGTTTAGGATGGCAACTTTTAAATCCTTTCATAAATGCAAGGATATATAGATTTTGTGTATCGTCATTCATCATTTTGCCATTCGGGCCGCCTGGTTCCTGACATGGTACTTGTGGTCGTCCATGTCTCGGGTGAAGAAAGGGACAAACGGGCTCGACTTTTGGGTGCTGTAATACCGAAAGGAGCGGCAGTCTTATCGAGTACATTTCATGTCAACTGCAAATAGTTGATGGCAGTTTAGGATGGCAACTTTTAAATCCTTTCATAAATGCAGAGTACTGAGCCTCCAGAGTATGAAATGAAGTATCACAGTTTGTAATGTAGTGTAGATAATGTGGATTTTGGAAACCGTACTTTTGGAAACCTTGAAGAAAGAAACCAAAGAAAAAAAATTCCCTTCAAATCAAATATAAAACAAGAAGAAAAAAAAACCTAGAAGCTCGTGCCCGATCCTCGACCTCATGTCATTGTTCACCCTGGCCCTCGGCCGCCTCCGTGGGCCCCACCCTCCTCTTCCGCCTGCCGCCCTCTTTCCTCGGCTGTGTTGAGTCCGGCCCAATTACGGTGGGCTTGGACTAAATAAGGGCCAGAGACCCATTCTCTTTAATAAAAAGAATAAAAAAAAAATCTGCTTGATATAACCTACGCAGCGCAGCAACGTAGAAGAAAAAGGAACAGAAACAAGTTTATACACTCATCTTTTTCATTCCCGCAACTGCACTGCGCAGTCACAGGAAATCGCCGATTTCCGGAGATTTCACCGTTGGATCGTCACCAAATTTGGACAGCAGGTTCATAACTTCTTACTCTTCGTTTTGAACGGTGGAGATTGGATTTTGAGCACTTTTGGGCTGTCTGTTCGTATGTGACGTGAAGGGAATATTTTGGGGTGTTTTGTTGAATTGTTTCTTGTGGTTTGCCAAGATCTTGTGTTGTGATCTTGAAGATTGTTGTTTGCCTCTAGTTTGATGAACTAGAGAGGATTTCAGTTGTACCCATTATCGGACTGAATAGTGGATGATTTAAGCGGCCTACGGGTCCCGTGGTTTTTACCCAATTTGGGGTTTTTCACGCTAAAAATCTCGTGTCATTTAATTGCTTGCTTGATCGTTGTTTGGTTGCTCTTGCTTGTGGTTATTGTTGTTGTTGATTGGACTTGGTGCTTTATTATTCGGTTAAAGTCATCTTTGTTTGGTGGCTTTAACCACAACAAAGTGGTATCAGAGAGCCAGGTTGGTTCGTGTACCTTGTCCAAATCATGGAGACTAACACAAGTCGGATGGTTACCTTGAATGGGTCCAATTATCATGTGTGGAAAGGGAAGATGGAAGATCTCTTGTATGTGAAGGATTCTTATTTGCCCGTGTTTACCGATGAGAAGCCGTCGGATAAAACCGATAAAGAATGGGAGCTTTGTCAACGTCAGGTGTGTGGCTACATTAGGCAATGGGTAGATGATAATGTCCTCAACCACGT